TTTATTGGCAAAAAAAAATTAATCAATGAAAATATGTCTATTGTATCAACAGAATAAAGACAGAAATTTTGGATGAAAAAGAATAATTGAAAGCAGGATGACTGACTAATACAAGAAATTTTAAAATGTGCTTTGTAAGAACACAGCAGTTACTTTTGTTCTGAAAGATAGAAGCATTAGAGTCCTCTGTATCATCTGTAGAATAAAAACATGCTTTGGAGATACTATCACCCTTAAAGAGTGATGTTCAACTATATATAAAATGGAAAATTGTACCCAAGGAAATGGTCTTTACCTTTGGTAAAATTGATTGAATCCTCACAAATTTATTCATTTAACATTTTCTTTTTTATTGTTATGTTAATCACCATACATTACATCATTAGTTTTTTTTTGTATTTTTTTATTATTATGTTATGTTAATCACCATACATTACATCATTAGTTTTTGATGTAGTGTTCCATGATTCATTGTTTGCTTATAACACCCAGTGCTCCATGCAGTATGTGCCCTCTTTAATACCCATCACCAGGCTAACCCATCTCCCCACACCCCTCCCCTCTAGAACCCACAGTTTGTTTCTCAGAGTCCATAGTCTCTCATGGTTCATCTCCCCATACGATTGCCCCCCCTTCATTCTTCCCTTCCTGCTATCTTCTTCTTCTTCTTTTTTTTTTTTTTTAACGTATAATGTATTATTTGTTTCAGAGGTACAGGTCTGTGATTCAACAGTCTTACACAATTCACAGTGCTCACCATAGCACATACTCTCCCCAATGTCTGTCACCCAGCCACCCTATCCCTCCCACCTCCCACCACTCCAGCAACCCTCAGTTTGTTTCCTGAGATTAAGAATTCCTCGTATCAGTGAGGTCATATGATACATGTCTTTCTCTGATTGACTTATTTCGTCAGCATAATACCCTCCAGTTCCACCACATTGTTGCAAATGGCAAGATTTCATTCCTTCTGATGGTTGCATAATATTTCATTGTGTATATATACACCACATCTTCTTTATTCATTCGTCTGTCGAGGGACATCTTGGCTCTTTCCATAGTTTGGCTATTATGGACATTGCTGCCATAAACATCAGGGTGTATGGATGCCTTCGGATCCCTACATTTGTATCTTTGGGGTAAATACCCAGTAGTGCAATTACTGGGTCATATGGTAGCTCTATTTTCAACTTTTGAAGAACCTCCATACTGTTTTCCAGAGTGGCTGCACTAGCTTGCATTCCCACCAACAGTGTAGGAGGGTTCCCCTTTCTCTGCATCCCCGCTGACATCTATCGTTTCCTGACTTGTTAATTTTAGCCATTCTGACTGGTGTGAGGTGGTATCCCACTGAGGTTTTGATTTGGATTTCCCTGTTGCCAGGTGATGTTGAGCTCTTTTTCATGTGTCTGTTGGCCATTTGGATGTCTTCTTTGGAAAAATGTCTGTTCATGTCTTCTGCCCATTTCTTGATTGGATCATTTGTTCTTTGGGTGTTGAGTTTAAGAATTTCTTTATGGATTTTGGATACTAGCCCTTTATCTGATATGTCATTTGCAAATATCTTCTTCCCTTCAGTTGGTTCTTTTGGTTTTGTTGACTGTTTCCTTTGCTGTGCAGAAGTTTTAATCTTGATGAAGTACCAATAGTTCATTTTTGCCCTTGCTTCCCTTGCCTTTGGCGATGTTTCTAGGAAGAAGTTGCTGTGGCTGAGGTCAAAGAGGTTGCTGCCTGTGTTCTCCTTTAGGATTTTGATGTACTCCTGTCTTACATTTAGGTCTTTCAACCATTTTGAGTCTATTTTTGTGTGTGGTGTAAAGCAACAGTCCAGTTTCATTCTTCTGCATGTGGCTATCCAATTTTCCCAACACCATTCGTTGAAGAGACTGTCTTTTTCCATTGGACATTTTTCCTGCTTTGTCGAAGATTAGTTCTTGTATCTCTTTGTATCCTGATTGTATCTCTTTGAGATCCTGATTTCAACTTCTCTGAATAAATACCCAGGAGTGGGGTTGGTAGATCACATGGTAATTCTATTTTTAATTTTTTGAGGAACCTCTGTACTTTTTTCCATAGTGGCTGTACCAATTTACATTCCCACCAACACTGTACACTCTTTACAGCATCCTCACAACACTTTTTTTTTATAATAGCCATCTTAACAAGTGTGAGGTGACTTCACATCATGGTTTTCATATGCATTTCCTTGATGACTAGTGACATTGGGCACATTTTCATATAATTATTGTCCATTTGTAAGTCATTTAGGGAGAAATATCTATTCAAGTCTTTTGCCTATTTTTTAATCAGGTTATTTGGTGTTTTGCTATTGAATTGTAGGAGTTCCTCATATATTTTGGATTTATTAGATGTATGTTTGCAATATTTTTTCCATTACTTAAGAGGCCTTTCATTTTGTTGATGGTTTCCTTTGTTGTACAGAAGCTTTTTTTAGTTTGATGTAGCTCTAATTGTCTATTTTTGCTTTTGTTGCATGTGCTTTCACTTTCATATCCAAGAAATCATTGAAGAACAATGTCAAGAAGATTTTTCTCTATGTATTCTTCTGGTAGTGTTATAGTTTCAGGACTTAAGGCTGAATTGTATGCTTAAAAATTTAAGAGGGTATATTATATATTCTTATAAAAAATAATACTAGAGAGATGGGAGGAAACTTTTGGAAGTGATGGATATATTCATGGCATAGATTGTGGCAATGATTTTATGGGTATATACTTATCCCCAAACTCATCAAGTTTTTTACATTAAGTATGCACAGCCTTTTGTATGTCAATCATACCTCAATAAAGTGGTTTTAAAAAATGAACGTAGCTTGCGGCATCTGGGTGGCTCAGTTGGTTAAGTTTCCAACTCTTAATTTCATCTCAGACCATGATCTCAGGGTCTTGAGATCAAGCCCTGTGTCAGCTCTGTGCTCAGCATGAAGTGGGCTTGAGATTCTCTTTCTCACTCTCCCTCTACTCCTCCCCACCGCCACTGCTCACACACACTGTCTCTCTCAAATAAATAAATAAATAAATAAATAAAATCTTAAAAAAAATGTAGTTTATCAAACTTTCAATTGACCAAAAGATAAAAAAAAAAAGACTTAGACTAATAAATCCTTCTTCAGTATCCCTTCCTCACTTCTCATTCCTGTTTTTTTTTTAGATCACAGACTATGTCTTGAAGACTACAGGAAAATCAAAAAATGTATTTTCATGCTGAATGTAAACAATCATGTCAGTAGCAGAATTGGCATTACAATGCCCTACTATATTTTCAAGGCTATGCAAACATCTATCATGTGTCCCTCCCTTCCTCAAAAAGGATTTTAACCCAAAAAAGATTATGAACAATAAGAATCACTAAAAGAAAGACCATGTATATAGATCCTAAAGAACAAATATTTCAGGCATCTCAAGCTCTTCTTTAGTTTGATAGGGATATACTGAAATGAATTGGCTTTCAGAGCTACAATTAAAATTATGAAAAATTCCAAGGATTAGAGATTACATATTTGGATTCCAAAAATCCTCTTTGAATAGTGATTTACAAGAGCATGGAATCATGCTTTAAAATTAGCAAGCAGAAATGCCTATCTCCATGGCTTTAAACAATAGTATTACTCAATATTAATAAGACCAATAATTATTATCAGAATACAAAGCATTTACTGATGAGAATTATGTGCACTTTAAACAAGAATTAGAACTTTTCATATGTTAATTTTTATAAACTATCTGTGAATATATTTGATGAAAAACACATCACAGTGATAAGGGTTTTGTTTGTTGTTATTATTAAAGAAGTTATATTTAATTGGTTTTTGTGATGGTTCTATAATACAGTAAAAATTATGTAAAGGTGAAGAAACACACTTTGTCATAGGATGGCTCATTAGCCATGTAAAAGAAAATTAATAAGGGGAGAAGTAAACAGAAACAATAATTTTTAAAAAGTGTTTGATCATATTTTAATATAATAATCTAAAATCTAGATTTCTTTGGACTGTTATAGAAACATGTTTATTACAGAAATGATTGCAAATAGCCTTTTGAAAATAAGAAGTGGCATTGAAGATAGAAACAAAGCTGAGAGTCAAAGTTTCTGATATTTAAGAGTCCGATTTATTAAAGATCAAGACGTGTTCTATATATCTAAGCTGATAAATATCCCAAAGCTTGTCGTAAATGAGGAAAAATCTCTTCAAATATCTAATTAATGTTTGCATCACAGACACTAAAAATTGAGAGAAATAGCTGAAGAAACATCAAATTGTCATTCAGTAGCAGTATAACTACATAACATAACTTTTTCATACTGAAGAATTTATATTTCACACTGAAATTCTGAAAAGTGAAACTAAAGTTTATGGGATTTCAAACTATTCTTGAAACCAGCAGTAAGGTGTCAGATGCTGAAAAGTGCACTAGAATAGCAGTCAGGACATCTAGGTTGTAATGATAATTCTACAAATTTTTAACCTCAGGCAAGTCATTTAATTAACATTGTATTTGGTTATTAATTTGTCAAATGAGAGGTTAGATCTCATGCTCTGGGAAATCCCATATCAGTTAAATATCTATGAACTTGATATATTAATAATAATCACAGGTATCAATGTCTATTTTCTATGAAATGTCTATTTTGTGTCAAGTGATAAACCAGACTTTTTGCATGGAATATCTTAATATTCACAGTAGAAATATCTTCATTTCAGAGATTTGGAAACAGAGACTCAGGGAAGGCAACTTGCCCAACAGACAACTAATAAATGCAGGAGCTGGGATTCCAGCTGAGCTCTGTCTGTCTTCCTGCCCTCATGCCAACTTGATCATACATTCTGATTTTTATCCAACTGATGACAGAATATTCAATTATTCAAGCTGCATGACAAAACTTAAAATAATTGCTCAACTATCACATAATGGCATTTAAAAAGATTCTATCTGAACCATAACCATCAATGATTCAATAAAGAGGTTTTTATTACTTACAGCTGTTCCAAGGATATGAGTCCTTTAAATGTTTGCTTATCTAGGGCATGAATTTCATTCTTGTACAGATACCTGAAAAACATAAAATCCTATTAAGTTATAAATTTGCGTAGATACCACCTTTCTTATATCAGGAATTTTTAAACTGCAGTGTGGCTCTAAAGAGCTTTAGAATGTTAATAGATTCCCTAAAAATATATGGAGATTTTGATTTCATTTGAATATGTTCAAGTATCTGGGTAAGACAGTTCCAAGGCTCTCATCAGATTCTCAAAGAAATCCTTGATCCAAAATATTAAGAATCACTGCCTTAACCTCTAAAACTTAGATTGTAGAAAAATTCTGACTAATGAGGTCACATGTACTGGGTAACATCTTCTCTAAGACAAAGAAAAGTTTGACTACAACAATTTTTTTCAAATTCATGCTATCATACAGAATATATTGAACTAGGAGTTACATTTGCAAAGCTGGCAAATATCATAGGATTCATCTGAGGGGGATAAACACATATTAACAGATCCACAAGATGTATTTTGGTTCTCCCATGGCTACTGCTGAAAACCTACAGGAAAGGATACTGTTAATGGATTTAGAAATATGATAACTAATCTGGCCAAAAGATTTGATGAAAACAATTTCCATAACATGAGCACTATGTCCTTTTTTCTTCAACTATGGGATAGCAAAGTTATTTCATTTTTAAATCTCAGTGTGAATATTTGGTGAATGTCATAAAACTGAAACCTATGTCTTTTCTACTTGTGCCTCTGGGGATCTGAGATGATCAGAATTCCTGAAACTTTCTACCAAGTTCCTCTGGATTGCACCTTTGCATAAGCTAGAGCTCACAGTATTTTTTTTAACATTATTTATTTATTCATTTAACAAAGAGAGACAGTGAAAGAGGGAACACAAGCAGGGGGAGTGGGAGAGGGAGAAGCAGGCTTCCTGCTGTGCAGGGAGCCTGACCTGAGACTCAATCCCAGGACTCTGGGATCATGACCTGAGCTTAAGGCAGATGCTTAACAACTGAGCCACCCAGGTGCCCCCTCACAGTGATTTTGAATGCTTCAGAATCACCTGGTGGTGTGTTAAAAACACTGACTCCTGAGCATACCCCCAAACCTCCTCAATCCAATTCTCTTGGGGTGAGGTCTAGGAAACTGCATGTTTATCAAGTTTCCCAGTTGATTCTGAAGCAATCTCTCAGCAGATGACTTAAAAACCATAGACACCATAGAAATCACAATTCTAGTTGAAAATAAAAATGAGATTGCTTTTCCAAAGTGTGCTTAGTAAAGCTTTGGAAGTTCCAAATTACTTTCTCTTCCCACAGATTAGAACTTCTGTTAAGTTTCTCAGAGCAGTAGTAGTAACTGGTAGAGATATATGCCTAACTGGAGATATTTCCTTAGCATTACTTGATACTATGGAAGATCTTGATTTGACCTAAAATCTCAGAAATATAGCTACGTGTTAGGATGACAAAAAAAAAAAAAATTCTAGAACCATGTTTCTTCAACTAGCTCATAAGGAGTACTGAGCTGTGGTCTCAAAAAGCACCACCGGTTCTCAACTGTGGTTGTTATGTGGGTAACAAAGGCAGAAGAAGAAAAAAATCTTACTACTTAACAGCCCATTGACAAGTCCTTGAAACAGGCAGAGTGACATTCCTCTAGGAACTCAGTTGCCTTGATTGTTAATACTTTGCTAAGGGCAAAAGGCAATCTTAGCCTGACCCCCAGGGTTCTGTAAGTCTTGTATAATATATGAAAATTCCTTTGGAAACTTCTTTTATCTTTATCCCCCAAGATACATGTTGGCAATCATCCTCCAAGCATATGACCCACTGATATACATCTGAAGAGTCTCATGACTGAGTTTTTACTAAACAGTAATAAATGACCTTTTTCTAACAATAGCTAGCCCCTTAAGGATCCTGGAAACCTTGTTTCCAAAATACCTGGGAGGTTTATGCTATCCCTAACCCCCTTCCAACTTGAAAGTATATAATGGGCCACTCCTCAAGACCCGGGTGCAACTCTTTGCCCATGGGTCCTTTCCCTGTGCTTTAATAAAACCACCTTTTTGTACCAAAGATGTCTCAAGAATTCTTTCTTGGCCACTGGCTTCAAACACTAACATCTTTCCTATATCAATTGTGTGTGAATCAGTGTATAGGTATATGAATCAATATTTCTAAGACATAATTTTGAGCTTTATCTCAGGCCTTATACTGATGGATGGGATACTGCCTCCACAAACTCTGATTTAATAGTGGGTCTGGCATGTGGAATAAGATAATAATATGCAGAAAATTTTAAAACCTCTATTGCAGGGGTATAGACCAGGTAAAAAGTATTTTGTAAATTTATTCCAGAGGATTCAGATACACCTCCCTGGTAAGGACCCTCAGACTATCAGAATGTCAAAGAACCACATTACTTTTCAGGTATCATATCTTGAGGCATAAAAAAATTGACCCAATTGGGCGCCTGGGTGGCTCAGTTGGTTAAGCAACTGCCTTCGGCTCAGGTCATGATCCTGGAGTCCCGGGATCGAGTCCCGCATCAGGCTCCCTGCTCAGCGGGGAGTCTGCTTCTCCCTCTGACCCTCTTCCCTCTCATGCTCTCTATCTTTCATTCTCTCTCTCTCAAATAAATAAAATCTTTAAAAAAAAATTGACCCAATTTCTATAGAGATATGTATAATGGCTTAAAATGTTTTTATTATTATCATATTTAAATAATGATGAGCTGTTTCATAAAAATTAAACTAAATTATCAAATATTCATTGAGGAGTCTCAAAACTGAAAACACCTATAAAATTTTACATTATATATACAGATTCATTTTAAACTTATATTTTATAGAAAACTAAAAAAGTGACCAAATAGTAGTGAAAAAAGAAGCAATAGAACTTCTATAGTTAGATCAGTACATGTTGATTAAAACAATAAAGTATACAGTCAAGATACACTGCTACTTAAGTTAACACCAGCAAGAGAAATTCCAGCTTCCTGTGGGATCATGGTAACCACCTGAATTCAAATCTCTCCACACATCCTGAAAACAAACTAAGAGGGAAAAACAAATCAGCCAGAATACAATCTATGCCATGACTAGGAGAAAGAGAAATTAATAACTTCAATTTACATTTAAGTAGGGGAAATATTAACACCAGCAAAGTCAGCTCCAGAGGCTGCTTTGCAGAAAGGAGTCAGGCAGGATTTTATAGACAAGGGGCATGGGAGAAGGGGGTGGAACAGGAAAGCTGGGAAAGTACCAACCTAATGAAAATTTGCCTGAGCCCTGGGGGATCAGAGCCCTAGCTCCTGGGAATTGACAGAAAGGGGCTGGGAAAGTGAATGGGGGAAGCACCTCACAATTTCAGGGTGTCTTGTGGAGGAGTAGCATTAAAGGTAAAGAAGGAAGTAAGAAACTAAAGGATCTTACAGAGATAAGATAATATAGAATCTGAAGACACACCAAGGGGCGCCTGGGTGGCTCAGTGGGGAGCCTGCTTCTCCCTTTGCCACTCCCCCTGCTTATGCTTTCTCGCCCTCTCTGTCAAATAAATAAATAAAACCTTTCAAAAAATTTAAAAATAAAGGCACACCAAAAAAGGCTATACTTAATAAGGAAATTGTGCTTCACTCTGTCAACAGAAGGGCATGGCCTTGAACTAAGAAATAAGCCATCCAAAGTTCTCTCCTCTACCTTCATATTTAATCACCTGTTACTCAAATCAAATGTTAGCATCTAAACTTGAGAAACATTGCACAAGAAAACAATAAACTCATCTTATCTTTGAATATCAATGCAAAATTAATAAAAATATTAGCAAACTGAACTTACCATTTAATAGTTCTAAGGAGCAATATTTATGATTATATTCTAAAATACCAAAAAAACCCATGTTGATATCTATTTATATTTCCAGATGCCATGATAGTATGACTGGACATTGCAAAATAATTGCTGCCAAAATTATTAAAAACAAGAAAATTTAGGGGCACCTGGGTGGCTCAGTTGGTTTAGCGACTGCCTTCAGCTCAGGTCATGATCCTGGAGTCCTGGCATCAAGTCCCATATCCGGCTCCCTGCTTAGCAGGGAGTCTGCTTCTCCCTCTGACCCTCCCCCCTCTTGTGCTCTCTCTCTCTCTCTTCATTCTCTCTCTCTCAAATAAATAAATAAAATCTTAAAAAAAACAAGAAAATTTAGTAGGATTACAAAATATAAAATTAACATACAATATCAAAAGCTTTGCATATTCAAATAAAGGATATAATAGAAAAGAATACACCACATATAATAGTAACAGGAAAAAGAAAACTAGGAAAATTTGAAATACACAAGCCTACATGAGAAGAAATAAATCAAATGGAAAGACATCTTGAATAAGATGCCTCAAAACTAAAATATACCATTTTCCCCCATTAATTTTCATATACATTCAAAGTGATTCCAATAAAAATACTAACAAATTTTTATAGAGGTATATAAATTGATTCTAATGTTCCTATAGAGAAGTAAACAAATAAGAATAGCTAGATACACCCTAATAAAGAAGAGCAACAAGGAGACACACGATAACATATATTTAGAAAACTCAATAAAGCCTCTATAATTAAACCAGTATGGTTTTGGCACATGAACAGTCCAACAGGAAAAACAAAATAAATGGTCTAGCTGAAGAACTAATTACATATGTAAATTTAGTATATAATATAGATTCATTTTCAAATCATTGGTGTTGAGAAAACAATGAATTCTTTTATTGATGGAATTGGGGAAGCTTTTCTAACCATGACTCAAAATCCAGAAATAATTCAAAAATAATAAATTTTTTAAATAATAAAACTTTACATGGCAAAAAATTTCATACCTAAGTCAAAAAAGAAAGGGAACATTTTGAAAACTAATATCACAGAAAGATTAAAATTTGAGAAAACAAAAATTCAATCATAAAATGGGCAAAAACCATCACAGACTGCACATATGTAAAAATGATGAAATGCATGAAAAGATATTAAACTACACTCATAATAAGATCAATGCAAATTAA